AATGACGGGTTTGTTAACGTTTCTCGATCTACGTGACGTAACAAGAAAACTGAACATAAAGACGGAACTTCTCGTGGGTCAACCTTATATAGTTCAACCATGCTGCCCATCATCTATTGTTTATCATCGGGAAATCACAGTGTACTATGAGTTTTTTTTTTTTTTCACTACAGTGCCTCTGAATATCCAAGCATGCTTGATATAGCTGTCGTCGGTTGTAGACCACACGGAGACTTTTGGGGCGAACTTTTGGAAAGAATTTCTACAACACGTTGGGCGCAGAAATATTTTCAAGAGGAAATGTCGATGGTTTGATTTTTTTACAACATGGTACTCGATTCAGCACGGATCTGAAATTTCAAGATATGTCAGTACGTACTAAAAGACTAAATCATAACTTCAACTGACTTATGCTGGCTTCAGTCTAATGTCATGATTATAGTATATTATTAGATTTTACCTATGCATACTTATTGAATATCTAGAATCAGACTGTCGTGAGATGAGTAGAAAAGATGGGTATTTGGCTATATATATTGTAGAAATCTATTAGATAGAGTTAGCAGTTTGTTTATTTTGAGTCCTAAATAAGTTTTATCATCATAGTAACTGTTCTTTGCACGCCTGGCTACTCTTGCCTGACTGCGAAGATAAATATTAGTTCAAAAGTGACCGGTGGCGGGTTAGTTTGTTTACGTTGATGCAGGTTTGCAGTTGTATGGTCGTCTATTGTGAAAAGATACGAAGTTGCGGCTGATCTTTCGTCGATCGATGTAATTATTGTAATTTCGTTAACTCATGAAGTGCTCTAATGAAAATCCAAGTTTTGCTTAGGCTGGGTTGTGTGATACTTATTTCTGAAACCGTAATCGCGGATCAATAATAATTTACTGATAACTTGTTTTTTCTCAATGTTGAATTGATAATCAATGTTGATAGTGTAATTTATAGACATGCATATCCACTTTACAACTGTCGACTTGGCCTTGTAAATGTACTTCAAATCAGAGCTCAAGTCAATAGTGTTCATGCATTAGCACAGCACAATGATGAGGCTCAAACATAGTGCAATTCTATACGTAGGTAATAGGAAAGAACATGGTATTATGACATTTTGAAGCAATCAATGCTTCTTTACAGACCAACCACTGCACAAAGCACTAGCACCTTCCCAAAGAAAAGTTAGTTACACACTATCATAAATGAACAAAATGGACGGGCCGATCATGTTGTAAGCTCAAGCTGTGCCAGCAGCTGTGGCAGCTAGCCTCGTTATGTGGACTGAATTAAGAATTTGAAATCAAAAGCCTTGGTTTCAAGTCCATAGGAGGCTAAATTTTGGTCTAAAAATATTTAAAATTTATGTTTCTACATGGATTTCAATGCTGTTAACATTGAGAAACTTCAAAGTATATCTCATGCAAAAAATACTTTTGCAATGCAATACTCTCACGCAAAATAGCAAAAATAAATTTGAATGTGAAAATAAACGTCACTTGAAAACTGAGCGATCCAACTTGGACCGCTGGGGCTGGACAAATGTTGCCAATGATTGTGAATTAGATTTTGGATTTTGATATTGTGAATAATTTTGATTGTGATACTGACACTTTGACAGTAGGGTCAACCTTTGAATGTCAAAGTACTAACATCATGAGTAACCAGGTGAGAGAGAAACAAAGGCCTGAACTGGTGGAAAGGAAGCTGGTATAGGGAAATAGGGACGGTGAAACACCAAACAAGTGAACAACCAATGAAAGTCATTGCCATTTTTAAAGTCATTTATGGCATTTTAGACCCACAGAAGCAACTAAGAAATTACACAGTTCAAATCTACACTTTTTTATTTAAATCAATTTTGAAACTCCCCCTGTTTCTAGAGAGGGGTTGCAAGGGGCCCATGAGGTCAGATTATTCATTCGGGGTCATGACCATGAGATGGGTTTAGACTGTTGGTTCAAGGCAAACAGCTTGAGACTGGGACAAAGAGCCAAAAGTACCTTCTGTGATAGAATTTCATTACGGGGTCAAATAAAGTACTATTGTGATTTGTGAAAAACCATACCACTCTAAAAACGGATAATTTTTCATTTCTCCTGTCTTTTCTAAAAAAGTATACATTTTCAATAGGTACATACATCTACCTAATCTTCCTATTTCTTTAATAGGCTAGGCTATGCTTTAATTAATAGTTTGTTGAGCATTGTTTTCAGTATTACTAATTAAATCTGTAAATTTAAAAATCTGTTAGTCAAATTTTATCAACTCCTAATGGAATAAATGACAGATTAATCATGTGAAAAAAAGATCAATTGTTTTGTCCTATCATTTGTTAAATCCATAGTGATAGTCACTGACTCACTGTCACTTAGCATTTTGGATCACAAACGTTAAGGATGGAATTATACCATAGACGGTAGTCATGGTACTCTGTACTCAGTACTGTCAGACAGGCTGAGACGCTGAGTGTCAGTGACTCAGTGCAATAGCAAATGGGCAACGTAGATACTAGATTACTAGTCATACTACCTAGTAGCATAGTGACACTGTGACAAACCAGATATTTTTTAGTATCAGTTCATTTTTCATTTATTCATTTACCCAAGATTTAAACCAATTTCTTATGTATCATGTATGATGATGCTGGTATCCAGGATACTTTACTGGTCTACGTATAGGACTCAAACATGAACTTTGAGGGAGAGTCTAAAAAACTCTCTGCTTTGCCACTATGCCTAGTAGGCTGGTAGTGGTACCTACTACTGAGTACTGTCTACTAGGTAGTAGCATAGTGCCGATAGTGGCAAACCCGGGCTTTCTTGGAATCGGTTCATTTTTAATTTCCTTATTTACTCAAGATTTAAACCAATTTCTTAAGGGGACCGTCTAACCTAAAATTTTCAATTTTGGCGTTTTCCACTTTTTGGGCTCATCTTAAAGCTCACTTTTCAACGCATTCAACGGTACCAGAATCATCCCTGTGCGTCAAAAAATGATTTCGTGACAGCTTCCCAAAGA